TCAACGGAAAAATCTCTCACCACGCCTTCAATAGCCTCTTCCAGAAGTTTCGTCTTGGGACTTGTTCTTTATGGCCCATGATTGGCTCAGGAAGCTCGGAAGTTTTTGCTACTTACAACCCTTCTAGAGCCAAGGCTCTCCAAGGTAGTTTAGGAATCGTTAGTAACTTTACAATCCACTTGGTTTGGAGGCCTTTTATTTGGTTGGCCGGGTCTAGGACGCCTAGGCCTCCTTGGCTCTTCTTTCTTGTTACATATTGCCATGCCACCTTTGTGATGAAGTTCTGTCTCGAGGCGTCTCCTGTCCAGAGGTAAGCTGTTGCTTTCTTTTGGAGATCCTTTAGGGTTTTTTGTTCTGGGGTCCAAGAGGCTGCAACGTACCACATCATCGAGTATATGGAGGCGTTCAAAACTAGCACTCCGTCGTGCAAGGAGGTGTGGATGCTCCCCCAGGTGTCGAGTTTGCTGATCATTTTGGCTAGCAGGCTGGGCGCCATTTCTGCTGCAGCCCCCTTTATTGATATCTGTATTCCTAAAACTCCGAGTTGGTCACCGGGGTTTGCCCATGTCAGGCCCTCTGGTGTGTTTCGGGGTGGATCGAGGCCTTCTTCTGTTTGCCACCAGCTTACTATCTTGCTCCAATTGATGCGCATCTTAGAGACTAGCTAGAATGCACACATTGCTCTGGTGAGTGTTTCGAATGATGAAGATGACACTCTTATGAGGACTGTTAGGTCATCTGCAAACAAGATTGTGGGGGGAATATGGTACTTGTGCAGATTTTGTTCTGTCGATGGATGGGTCCTTCCTTAAGAACGAGGAATTGGGTTCCATGATGAAAAGGAGTATTGGGGCTGTCAGGGGATCGCCTTGTCTGACTGACCGGGACATTTTACATTTGTTGGAGATGTGACCATTGACCTGTACTGCCCCCATTGCGTCGTTGTAGAGGACTCTTACCCATTTCCTGAAGTTAGGTCCTACTCCAATTGTTTCCATGCACTGTCGTAGGAAGTCCCAGTTGACTTGGTCATAGGCTTTTTCAAAGTCAACAAGAAGGATTGCTACGTTCATTTGTTTGTCTTGGATGTATCTCACTAATTCTGCTAGAGACATGACATTGTCTAGGATGAACCGGCCTGGGATGAATCCCGTTTGGTCTATATGAAAGCAGTTTTTGGTGACCTTTCAAATTTTGTTGGCTGCTAATTTTGCCAAGATCTTGTAGGGCTACTGTCATTAGTGTGATTGGCCTATAGTTCCTGATGTCTGTTGGGTCGCCCTTGTTGTAGAGAAGTGTGACTATACCGGTGCTAAGTGCTGGTCCTAGGCTTTCGTTGGTCATGTTATTCTTATGGACTGACAATGTTCATCTCCTAAGAGTGGCCATTCGACTTGCCAAAACAATTTTGAGAGGCCGTCTACGCCGAGTGTTTTTCCAGGCTTCATGGAATCCAGGGCTTCTATAATTTCTTCATTTGTGATTGGTAGATCCAGTTCCTCTACCATGGTGTGTGATATAGTTTTATCTAGGTGCTTGCTAAAATTTTCTCTAGCCTGAAGGACTGTTCTAAACGTAGGTGATTCTGTCTTGGAGGCGTAAAGCTCTTTGTAGACGGATTCAACAACATCTTTGTTGGATTGGATGTTAGGCCTTCTTCTCCTCTGAGTTGATTGATGGTTGAGTTCCTTCCACGTGCCTTGATTTTTCTGGAAGAAGAACTTTGTCATTTTCTCACGCTTCTCCCATTCTCTTATCCTGGCTCTGCGTCTCATCCCGTTCGCTGTCCAGGAATTCCAGTTGGCTGGTTCTTTTTTAGCTCTAGTTAGTAGCTCTTTGTAGTCTGTGGATCTCGGGTTATGACATAAATAAGTTTGAGCAATGCTGACTGCTGCTTCTAGTTCCTTTATTCTCTGATTTCTTTTTGTTGCTAGTTTCCTTGAGGTTGTGGATGCTGCTCTAGAAAGGTTGGTTGTTAGGGATGGGAAATCAGCCTCTACTCTTTCTGAATCGATGCAGGTTTGTACTATTGCCTCTTTCATTTCACGGGTGTGAAGTATGGAGTTATTGATCTTGAAGAAGCCTGGTCCTTTTTGTAATGCCGGGTCGAATATGAGATCTATGAAGATTGGGTTGTGATCTAATCCGTTGTGGTAGGGTAATTTTCCTATACCTGCGTTAAGTACAAAGCCTCTAAGGGATTCCGATACTAGAAAAAAGTTTATGGCTGAGTTGGTAATGTGTTGGGTTCTATTTTTTTCTTGTATGTGAATCTGTTTATCTCTGGTGTAGTGTTCAAAGGGGTTCAAGTAGATTTTTTTCCATTGTTAGCTTGTGCATTGCTTGGGAAGCATTGCTTGGGCCTTCGTTTGCAGCCAACTTTCCCTTTCCCCTTGAGAGCATGACAATTTGTCTCTAGTTGGGCCTAGGGTTGTGTTCCAGTCCCCTACTAGGACTACGTGTTTTTGGTCCTTACACATTGTTGTTATGCTCTGGATAAAGATTTGTCTTTGGGAAAACTCGTTCGGGGCATAAGCGTTTATGAGTTGGAAGGATTCTTCCTTGAAAGTGAAGAGTGATTGTAACCATCGGTCGTGATCTAGGTTTGCTCTATTGTGTTCTATTTGTATTAAGTTGGCTGCTCTTGAGTTACGGTGTCATAGGATGGTTGTTCCTGCCGATCCAGCTCTCGGGCCAGGGGCCCAGCATGCTGCTTGCACGTATTTTAGTCTAAGTATAATTTTATTGATTATAGCTTTGTATTCCGGGGAATCGGTGAGGTGGGTTTCCTGTAGGCATGCAATGCCTAGAGGACTATTTGAGAACCATTTTAGATATTTGGTCAAGTTGTCCCATTTGCTTGTGTTGGTCAAGATTTTAACTAGCCCATTGACATTCCATGACATCACTGAGAGTTTAGGCTCCTTGGGTTTCAGGGTATAGTGCTTGGGCCTGTTCTCTGCCTGGGTGAGCATGGTTTGTTGTGCTGCCATGGAAAGTCTGTCGGGATCCTGCTACGTTTGTGTGATGTGGTGATTTAGTTGTCAGGGGACTCGACGTGTTGAGAGTGGCAAATCATGACCACATGCGCCTTCTCTGCCAAATTCCAAGTGATCTTCCCTGTTGTCAATGAGTGTGTGATTCTCGGCTATCGATGTTGAGACTGTTGCTCTCTCAGGAGGGATTTCGCCTCCCATGAGACCATAGGGGATAGCCTGCAGGACCTTCCATGACCTCCACACCAAGTGGTCAGTGAGTTGAGCCTCCATTGAGTATTTTACCATGTAAGGTCTCAAATTGCTGAACACTTGTCATCAAGCCACTCTTCTCTCAAGTTAGCTCTCTCGCCCAAGATGTGTGCAGCAATCGAGGGGTCCTTGGAAATGTTGGCTGCGAGGACTTTTTCATTGGGGCTTGCTGGGGCTATCAGAGACCAGGATTTGTTACTGCAATTTCCCAATCCCGATGTTGTTGGTTCCAGCGGTATGGCATGATCACTTTTTTTTTACAACCGCTCTTGGCCTCCAGTTTGGCTGCTGCGAAAATTTATGCATTATGTCTAAATGCAATGCTTTGCAAGTTGACTGTTTTCTCTACTGTTTCTTGTTGCAGTCCTTGAGAACTGTGATATGAGCCAATAGTATTTATTTCTGTTTGTCCAGATCCTCTCTTGTGCTCAGCTGATTCCCTGCCTCATCCCGCTCTTCCTTCTGTTTGCCAACCGTTGTCTCCTTGTCCTTCCCTTTTTGACCCTTTTTCCTTTCGTTGGGATGGATCTGTGTTGCCTCATTATGCAACTTTGGCCACTGGATTAGCTTGTCCGAGCCTGCGGTGTGCTTCCCTGGGCTGTCCAATGTGTGGCTGTATCGTTCTGCAAAGAAGTCGGACAGTTGTTGTTCCTTTTCTAGCACCTCATATTGGTTTTGGACAAGGATTTGGCTGTTGATTTATGATTGTTGGAAGTTGAAGTTTTTCAAGTTGAGAATGTCTCTTGTATGCAGTGCAGATTTCAAATTCCATATCCCTTTCCCTTTTCAATTTCTTTTCATAGTCATTCAGCCATTCACGTGAGTTTGTTCCTTCCCCCTCTCCATCTTGTGAGGTTGTCTCCTCTTCCTTTGTGTCCTGCGTTGTTCCATCCTCTGCTTGAATGTCCATCAAGTCCTTGGGTTTGGGGGCGTGGTCCTCTCCTTCTTCACCTTTCCTCCCATCAGCATCCACTGGAGTTAGACTGACATCCTTCTCCCCCAACTTCCCTTTATCTGATTCATCATGTTCCTCTTATTTGGATGCCACATCCATCTGGTCTGCTGTTGAGTTTGGGTCTCCTAGGTTGTTCAGCTTGCTGATTACGCTGGCAGCCTGACTGTGTGATGGTTGGTCTGGGGAGGTAAGTTCAGCCTTCTGTTTGACCAGTTTGTTCGATGATTGAGAGGTTGTCATCAATGTTTTCCTGTGATTTGGGTTTTTTGTTAGAGTTTTTTGCACACAGCACTTTGCCTCTTGCAAACAGGTTCTCAAGAAAAGCTTTTTCGGCCGACTCACCTGTTTTGACACGCTCCTACCAAGTTTCCCTTCTCTATTTGTTTTTTGTGACCACTTGGGGGTCAAGGAGGTTCTTTTTCAGGTACCCTCCATCTTTGTCGTCAATTTTCCTGGCACCCTTCTTTTGCCATTGGCTACCGCGTGGTGGCAAAAGTCGGACTGTGGCATGTCAATGACCCAGTCTACTAAGGCTGGGCATTCGATGACACATTGGACACCCCCCAGTGGATCTGGACACTCGAGAGTGAGCCACCTGCCCAGCCAGACAATTGAAAAACATCCTAGTGTGAGTATGCCCTCATAATTTTGTTCACCCACCCTTACCCAATGCAACACCCACTTCACGAAAGTTCAGAGATCAGCACATCTTCAGAGTTTGCTCTAGGAAGATGAGATACTTCCTAGTAACTTCCTACCTTAAAAGGTAAAAGAACTTTAAAGAAGGTAGTCCGTACCTGGTCAATTGTTCCAGGCCCGATCAGGACAATTGATGCTCCTGCTGCCTCAATCTCAGCCTGGGGGGAGGAATGAAACAAAGAATGACAAAAGGAGAAAAAAAAGGGAAACAGATCAAAGTTCAAACTCCGATGTTCAAAGTTCAAGCACATGTAATGTATGAGTCTAGTTTTACTGTCAAACAGGAAAGCATAGCCTTTATGACCAAACATCAATCATTTGTTAATATTATGTCTGCACGAATAAGAAACGAGCGAGGGAGAACGAAGGAGGATAAAAGAGAAGGAGCAAGACATCAAGAGAGTTGGACACAAATACCCCGTCTCGCCACCAATCGCCCTGTACTGTAAAATTCCATACCAGTCCTGAAATTAAATTATAATTAATTTATTGTGTCACAAACATGGAATTGATGGGCAAACTTAACAATAGTGTCCCCCTGGTGCTTACTCAGTCATCCAATGGTACCTCAGATCCAACCACAGCAGTGGCTTGCAGCCAGGAGTGTCTGTTCCTCCACCTCTACTGGGCAAACAGGCCCAAAGAAACATGCAATTAGAGCTGATCAACACTCTACTCTCCAAGGAGATGCTGTGCCAAACTCATGCCCAACTTCATTCCTCCTCCTCCTCCTCCTCCTCCTCATCATCATCATCATCATCATCATCATAGATAGAAGTAATGCCTTGTGTTTGCCCTCGGTCCAACTCAATTGAATACCAGACATAGAAAGTGATTCACCATAGCCAAGAAGCTCCACCATAGCCTAGGATCTTTTCTCCTTCGTGCAAGAACTCCGCCTGCTCCAAAAGTTTTGGGAGCTTCCACAAAACTTTGCCAAATTTCTGAAATCCAGAGGGCAAAAGCATTCACGACCGTTTTCATTCCAATGACTGGACTCGAAAGAGACTCGTATTGTTATTCATTCATTTTTTTTGTTGTCACTAGACCCTCTACCTCCCTATGTCGGGATTGGGCAATTTATGTGCCTGCTGCTTTCCTTGGACGTGGTAGCCTAATCTCTAAGATGCAGGTATGTCCTCGACAATGTTGGAAAGCATAGAAAGTTTGGGCACTCAACTACCCCTTACCCCCAACATAATGCCCCGTCATCATAAACGTACACGACGTGTTACCATCCCTGTTCCTGTCTTAATACAGCCATGAAGATGGGGCATCGTGTTCAGGGGAAGAAGGTAGTTTGTCGAAGTAGCTAAATACTCACAATATATACTAGTTATAAACACTAGTCAGAAAGGCAATCAGGGTGCTTGGCGATGTGTGTAATCGACACAACATTGGACTCACTTTCCGCTGGATCAGTTGGTCAGCACGCTTCTTGCAGAGAAGGCATCTGCACAATTCACAGAAGGAAAATGTGGCAATAAGTGACTCCTTGATGGAAGTTGAACTGCGTCGTCGTCTATATTATTTACCAACTTAAAATTTTCAAATTGACATTTGAGCAAGAACCTATAAACGTCAACCCAGCATATGAGTTTTGTATTTCCTGCATCCCCACTACTAAGGGTGTATTGAATTGTATTCACATCAAGTCAGATGTTGGCGAACGCCTTAGACCATTGCAGGGTCACATTTGCTCAGGGTACACTTGGTGTTCGTATAACCTATGACATCCATGAATCCCACACGGTGGACAGAAGGGGCAAGGCAACTCATGGGATGGGACCGACCTTTGTCTGCATGCCATTGAAGTGTTAAGCAGAGGCAATTATCGGGTAGTTATGTCGCCTGAGTTGGGTTAAGAACTCTGGGTCGGTTTAGGATGAACCATATAAGTAAGGATAGGACAGGGATACAATAGAATAGGATAGCGTAAGACTGAACATGACAAACCACATACGATAGGATAGTGTAGACTGTGTAGGATATTGGAGGATAGCGGAGGGGATAGGATAGCGTAGAATAGGATAGGGTAGGAGCACATGGGACAGGATGGGATAGGATAGGATAGTACAAATACAATAGCATAGGATAGTGTAGGATAGGATAGGGTACAATAGCATAGGATAGCATAAGATAGCGTAGGATAGGATAGGATACCATAGCATATGATAGCATAGGATAGGATAGGATACAATAGCATAGGATAGTGTATGACAACAGCATACCATAACGTAGGGTATGATAGGATAGGATGGGACAGGATAGGAGGATAGGATGGGAAAGTGTAGGATGCTAGGATATGATAGGATAGGATAGCATAGGATCAGATCGGATAGGATAGGATAGGATGGGATAGGATAGTGTAGGAGAGGAGAGGAGATGGTAGGACTGGATAGGATCACACATGAGAAAACAGGTCAAGATAAGATAAGAGAAGAGAGGAAAGTGTAGGATAGGTTAAAATAGAATAGGATAGTGTGGGACAGGGCAGGATAGGGTACCACACAAGACATGACAAAATAGGATAGTGTAGGACAGGACAGGACAAGAAAGGACATGACATGATAGGACAAGATAGGAGAGCAGAGTGTGGCATACGATAGTGTGGTACAGTGAAGGATAGGATACCACATAGGACATGACAAAATA